TAGAACAGTTCAAATAGTTTGGAAACTTCAAAATACTCCATTAAAGGCTGAGGGTGCATAACAGGGAAATAGGCTCAACTAGAATGGAAGCTGGCCCGGGGCTCGGGCGGGGCTGGGGCTCAGCGGTCTGTGGGGGCCTGCCGGCCTCCGGCCAGCTGCCGGCTGCATTTCTGCTTTCTCTCCTCCATCTGGCTCTTCATCTCCTATTCCAATGTATTTTTCTTGTTCTATTTTTAAATATATATTTCTATTTTCCCATTTTGGCTGTATGTGTTCCTGTAAGTGGTCTTCAACATGTGTAGGATGAGTCAAAGTAAACACACAATAAATAAATATTTCACACATCGGACAACAAATCGTTGGCATAATTTACAATCATTCTCTGATCCCTTTCTATGTCTGGAACAAAATGAGACTCTCAAGCCATGAGCGAGTCTCTGACTGTTTAAGATAAAGGTGTGATAATAGCAAGCATCTTATTAACTGTTTACTAGGTGTGAGGTCCAGAACCAAGAGTGCAGGAGGGCACTGTCTCCCCCGCCTTGCCTGCCCTCCCGGGGGTGCAGGAGGGCACTGTCTCCCCCGCTCTGCCTGCCCTCCCGGGGGTGCAGGAGGGCACTGTCTCCCCCGCTCTGCCTGCCCTCCTGGGGGTGCACTCAGTCGCTGGCAGAGACTGGAGTAACTTTCTGAGGACACGGGGTGGAGCCGCCTCTGATCAGCCTGCTCAGGAGAACTGGTGCTCTCAGGGCAGTGTTCCTGGCTGGTGCCAAGGGTTAGCTCTTCATGGGCCTTCCCTTATCTTTCTTTTTTTTTTTTTTAATTGAAGTATAACTTCTAGGAAGTGCATGAATCTCAAGTGTAGAACTTGATTAATTTAAAAATGTGGACACACCTGTATCACCACCACCCAGTTCAAACTCTTGAACATTTCTATCATCTGAGTAGTTTCCTTTGTGCCTCTCCCTGTCAGCACCTGCCCAGCCCAGGGAACTACTATCCTGACCCTGTTTCATGAACTTTCGTTATTTTTACCTGTCCTCACAGACAGGCTGAATGACTAATATGACAAAAGGCTCTACTCCTTACGTAGGGGTTGTGGGCTCGCCCTTGTCCCAGAAGCCCAGGCACACAGCCCTGCGGGTAGGGAGCGGGACCACCGCATCCCCGGGAGAGTGCGCGTGGGGAGGGTGGGCGGCAGTTTGCCCCCAGAAGTGACTCCACCAATCAGAGCAACAGCATGCCCCCAAAAAGAATGAATGAGAACAGGGAAGACCAAAGTATTGCAAAGTGAAAATTTGTGACTTTTGACAACCCAAGAAGGATTAATGATAGGGCAGGAAGGTTTCACGCTTATAATGTTGTTTTTTCTCTTTTAGAAGGACTTTTGTTTTCCTCTGATAAACAGAGCATTTACAACCTCCATGCATTTGTCTGGACCTGAACACAGGATGGGGCTCTGCAATGCTCCACAGCTTAGGAGATGAGCTGGTCCATGGAGGAGCACATGGCTTTGGACACGGAGCGAACCACAGAGTGGCCATGAGTTGAGCCACAGCCACGAAGTGGTCATGACATGAATCACGGCACATTATGGACACCACCATGAGGAGGCCACTTCCATGTCCATAGCAATCGTCATGAGCTGAGTCCCAGATGAGGCCCTGAGGAAGAGTGAAGACAAAGCAGGTTATGGACACGAACTGGACAATGGAGCACGCTGCAGAAAGAAAACACTGGGGAAGAAGGGGGTCCTGGAGTAGGCAGCGACCATAAAATGGGCCTGGATGGGCTTCCAAAAGGCAACAGAATGAACAAGGTGCATTAATCATGCCTCTCAGAGAAAGCGACAGAAATCGCTGGACGAAATATTGGAAAATATCTTTGTAACTGTATTAGTTAGCTGGGTAGATAGTAGGTAATATTTGGATTAGCCACTGAGAAAAGAAGGATACTCAGAAAGACTGAGAAAGCTCTGAGCCAGCCTTGACATCGAGAGCATTTGTCAAGTCTGGAAACTTCAGCACCAGGGCACAGGAGGCCCGAATAGAGCCGAGGCCTGCAGGGTAAAGCTTGCGTGCCGGCGCCCCTGGACTAAAGCTGCCCCGGCCGCGGCGCTGGGGCCCGAGGAAGCGCCCACTGCCAAGCCTGACGCTGAACAAGGGTGTGGAAAATCCCTAGGATTCACAAATTGCATGGCCTCCTTCAGTTTTTTTAGAAAGAACAGCGCAAGGCAACTTTATCGACTCATTTTGTAATGAGAGCAACAATAAAAAACGTGCAGAGAGCAGTAAGACATTTCTTAAGCAGGGAAAAAGAATACTTTCATGGTCTTTGCTAGAATTAGCAGTCTGAAGGGCAAAAACCGCAGAGAAGGTTGAAACACTGCTGCGCTTATTTTTAAGACTCCACAGGAAAGAAGACGTGACTATCTCATGGGATTCTGCAAAGAAGACCTTCTCACCAGAGGCTTCCTCTTCAATAATCCTCACATCAAGGATTATTGTGGCAAAAATGACTGCATGACATTTCTGGGAGTCCAGCTGTGGAAATGGCTTTTGTGGCTGGGTGGCCAGGAAGATTCCTAAAACAGTGGGAAGTCACCCCTATTACACCAGGCTCGGGCCCTGACCACGGGCCTGACTGCTGGAAGGCGCACAGCAGGAATACTGCAAGCGCTTGTCGGCAGCCTGCTCCTCACTGACCTATTGTCCATTCTTCCTTTTTTTTTCTTAATTGAGGTACAGTTGACATGTAGCATGACATTAGTTTCAGGTGCACAGCATGATGATTTGATATTTGCAGGTGTGTGAAATGGTCAGCATGGTCAGCCTAGCTCCCCTCTGCCAGGCCCATAGCTCAGCCACACGAACCCGGCAGACAGAAAACCATCTTCGACCTACTCAGGCCCAGGCCTCCTTCACGTTGGGGAGGAGGTTTCCTCCTTACTGTGCCCTGGAGTCAGTGTACTCATGCTTTCCTCCTTTGCTTTGCCCTTTTCTACCGCATGCTTGCTGTGTGCCCAACACAGTGTCGGCGCCTTTAAACACACCGTTGTTTATTTCTCAAAACAATCCAACGAGAACTTAAATTTCTGGCTCTATAATCAGCTAGGAGCCTTGATTTAAAATACCCTGAAAAGCTTAAAATGGTGGACTAAAAATTCTTAAATGAATCAATACATCGGCAGGAAAGTAAGGACTAAGTTAAGTTAGGAACCCAAGGAGCAAGGGCCAAACCAGGCCCTTACCAGGTGCACTTAACCTTCAGAACACGAGCCAAGGTGGGACGGTGGCAGGGGACACTCATTAATCTGAAACCTTCAGGGAGGGTGCAAACTGCAAATAAGCCTCCCCCTCCCCCAAGGAAACGCAAGTAAAATTGCAGGTCTCTAAACGTGGTGCAGGGGGAAGGGAAGGAGGGGAAAGTCTGTCTTGAGAAGTAGCTGTGACCATAATACTTTACGTGGTTTGCAGCCTCAAACCATGGGTAATTCAAAAGACCTCAAGCCTATCATTCAATTTAGAAGGATCCTTGAATGTTAATGCCTCCACATGCTTGGCCCAAACATGCAAATTCCCTGTGGACGATCAGACCTTCATCTCAGGTTTCAAGGGACTTCTACGAATAATATCACAAGAAAAATAAGTCATAGTCATAACTCTCAATCACAAATGAAACGGATACCAGGAATGACAGCCAGCAAGAAACAAGGCAAAACAAGACAGCAGGACCAGCTCCACAAACACTGAAGGGACTGGAATTACTACATACAGAGCATAGAGCAAGTAGGTTTGAGTGTGTCATAGCTTTGCGGTTGTCCACTAATATCCACCCTCCTCTTGAACTTGGAACCCTCTAGTCTTAGTTGAGCACATGCCCGCCCCCCCCATGGTATTTTCCCAGCCTCTTTTGAAGCTGTCTGTAACTGTGTGACCATGTTCCGGCTTGTGGTATGTCAGCAGACAACAGTAATCTCTCATGAAGTTATAAAACAAGATACAATTAAAATACTTGATAACACTAGGGTATGAGTTTTGGGATGGTAATATGAATTAAAGTGTGCCAAGGTCCTTGTATTGTTTTGAAGAACAGTAAAATATTAATTACATTAAGTAAGTACATATGTATGTAAAGTGTTTTTTAGGCTAACCTCTCAAAGGTGCAACCTGGACTGGAATTCAGGATCTCTGCCTGCACGCAATTCTAGAGGGAAAAAGAAGCCTTCTTTCTCGGAGGCTCCTGTTTTTTTAGCCACAGAATAGGATTGCTGGGAGTCCAGGACCCAGCCTGTCATGGACAGGCCCCTTGCCCTCCGCCTCAGGAACTGCCCATCACAGCCGCCAGGACATTTGTGTCTGAGCCTTTCCCAGGGCACCCCACCCCTTCCTGACTCTCAGACTCGCTCATTCCAACTTCTTTCTAACAGGCCTCACATGTTGGAGATGCTCATTCACCTACAAATAAGCTGAGAGACAGCTGGCTTCTGTCACACACACTATGTGTGGAACTCCCACCAGTGCCACACCTCCTGCCCTGGCCACAAGATGCCTTCTCCGCGGACTCCCCAAACCTTCCCCTCATTTGGGTTTGACAGCCATGCTCGTTTGGCTGGCCATGTGTGCTCCCTGTCGCTACAGAACCTCCGTGTCCAGGCCCAAGGTGAAGCTTCTGGCAGACTCAGACTATAGCTGTCCCTTCCCTAACAGACCAGACATCTCCTAATGGGCCTGAGGTCTACCTCCTGAGGGATGCCTCCTGGAAGCTTATGAGAAGGAACATCTGTGGGGTCCCAGGGTGGAAAAGCTCCCACAGAGTCCTGTGAAAACAGGCAAGAGGGAAAGTCCTGTGCTTGAGGTCATCAGGGGGCTATCCCACCCCTTCAGCCTGACAAGTGGCTCGTTCGTGCACATTCGACCCTCTCCCCACACCCTCCGCCCCCATGCCTGAGAGACCCCCGAGATGGCTTCCCCGACCCCTGGGCCCCTCTTCCCCTGTTCGTCATGTGCATTGCCGAAGGCCTGCTGCACACCAGCGGTGCTCCGCCTGCCTTCTGCCCATAGCCCGGGGGCCCAGATGCCTCGTCACTGCGCTCTTTCGAGTCTCCTATTTCTGTTTGCCCCCTTAGCTTAGTCCATTGGGCTTCCTCCTTGCTAAAGCGGGCGCACAGGACTTCCCGACCAGCAAACAGAAGTAGAACAGGTTTCTGGCCCTATCCCTGCCCAGAGGGTGGGTCCCTTCCACTCCAGCAGCCTTCACACCTTATCCCCTGCTAGTTCCTGCTGCGGCCCAGCCCAGTGCCCCGTCTAATGCGATCACGTCATTGTCCTTTCTTACCTTCCTTTTGACCCCTAGTCTATTCCTTCCCAGGCTCAGTATTGTTTTGTTAGCTGCTCACAGTTGACAGGAGAACAAGCCAACTTCCCAACTCCTCCCCAACACACGTGGAGCTATAAAGGCCCCTACAGCTCTTCTATGATAAGGAGAGAGGCAGGGCATCGTTCGGGGGAAGCTTAAGGAGCCCAGGCACCAGTCTCTCACCCCGCCCCTGAGCCCACGGTTCTCCCCAAGAACACATCCTTAGCAGGCCCAAGCTCCTGGAAGCTCCAGCCTTGATCTCTTCACCTTGAACTCTCCTTTCTCAAGAATACTGCTCTTTGCATTCTAGGTCTTGGCCGTATCTGGGATCCAGGCATCTCGCTTGCTGGCCATCAAGAGGCAGGCCGCGATGCAGAAAGGAAGCCTTCCCTGGAAGTGTTGGTTATTATTGCATCTCCTACTTTTAGGACATGGTGAGTGATTGTCCTTAAAGGGGGTTGGCCTGAGGACCCCTGAGGGGTTGTGGAGTGGCGCCCACCACTAGAGTACCTGAGGTTGTCCTCCGCCCTCCGCATGGGCACCACGCTCTGCTTCAATCGCCTCAGTCTAGCAATGAGTCCCGGGGAGGCGGTCGGAGCTCAGTGTTAAAACTGGCCCCAGGCGGCCTGCCCAAGAATTGTGGCTCCATCTCCTACTTGTGTGCTTTGGGTGAGTTGTTTAACTTCTTTGTGCCTCAGTTTCTGCATCTATAAAATGGTAATAATCTGTGTGATATGGCTGGGGTGGGGGAGTTAAATATTAAGCATAGGAAGATTGACTATTTTAAAAAATATCACTCATCTACTTGCTACAAACTTAATTTCTCTCCTGTTTCTAACCTGGTTCACATCCTCCTAGGTCAGCTTCAGACCAAGGAGAATTGAAGTAAGAGTCAAACTGATTCCCAGCCTGTTTCCACAACCCTGGCACCCCCTCCCCCCCCAATATGGGCGATCTCCTAGTGCATAGCCGGAAATCATGACTTCCTAGAGAATTCGTCCTTTTGAATCAAAATTAGCCCTCTAATCATCTGGACTCGTCTGTTCCCAAAGCTTCTAGGGTCAAATCCACTCTTTCTCACATGTCACCTCTACTTTTGGTCATCTCAGTTTCCTATTTAGTTTTACTCACAATTATGATCTTAACCCCAATTCACATCCTGTTGCAGAATTTGGGGACCTTCCCCAAATAGAGTTACACGCTAACCCCTATGTTAGTTGAAATAAAACTGAGGCGATGGGCACCCATGTCCAGCCAGTAGTGAAACGAGCCACAAGGAGATAAATGCCGGCTCTGGGGAGAGGCCGGATGTCTTTGTCCTTCAGGGTAGTGAGGGGCAAAAAATGGGCACAACCTTAACTCCAGCGGAGCCTCCCTACACCTGTGGGTCTTGATTTATGACCTTAGTCTAGGGAAAGCTTGCGCGTTTAACCTACATATAACCTGTTCTTCTCCAGCCTCTGCCACAGTGGTCAGGAGCCCTGGCACCCCAATGTAAATAGAAGCACTCGCCCCTTCAGAAGAGGCTGATACCTGGGCCCCACCTCAAATTCTGACTCATTTAGTCTGGAGTGGTTTGTGTAGGCATCTTTATTTTCAATAAGCTCTCCAGATGATCCTAGTGTAGGTGTTTTCTGAATAACACTCTGAGAAATATTTTCCGAGAAGGGAGCAATACTACTTTAAGAATGAATGAATCAATATATAATAGTTTCGCCTGGGTCCTACAATTCCTTTATGATCATTTTAATCCGTATTAGCTCTTGTATAGCAGATTTTTGGGTAAGCTTACTGCCAGTGAAACTAGGTCAGGTAACCCTGGCGTTGGGGCTGGGTGGGGCGGGGGACGGGGCATGGCAGCTAACAGTGCAGGTTCAGCAGCTTGGGTTCAAATTCCTGTTCTACTACTGACCAGCTATGTAAATTGGGCTGGATTCAACATTCCTAAGCCTCAATTTCTTCATCTTAGCTGGTGATAAGAGAATCTATTTCATAGGCTTCTGTGAGCATTAAATAGAATTACCTATGTAATGAATTTAACCAAGTGTTAAGCGGAAAGTAGATATTTTCTCTCTCTCCACATATATTTGTCATCATTTATCATTATCATCAGGTATAACCTCCACTGATAATAGCACGCCTGTCAGCACTGGATCCAGCGTGACCCCCAGTGGATCCAGCCCAGCTGCCAACACTGGATCCAGCGTGACCCCCAGTGGATCCAGCCCAGCTGCCAACACTGGATCCAGCGTGACCCCCAGTGGATCCAGCCCAGCTGCCAACACTGGATCCAGCGTGACCCCCAGTGGATCCAGCCCAGCTGCCAACACTGGATCCAGCGTGACCCCCAGTGGATCCAGCCCAGCTGCCAACACTGGATCCAGCGTGACCCCCAGTGGATCCAGCCCAGCTGCCAACACTGGATCCAGCGTGACCCCCAGTGGATCCAGCCCAGCTGCCAACACTGGATCCAGCGTGACCCCCAGTGGGTCCAGCCCAGCTGCCAACACTGGATCCAGTACAACCATGGGAGGCTCAGGCATGCCTTCTCCAAGTGGAATGCACACGACTTCCAATAGGATTAGCACAAGTGCTGCAACTTCAACGAGTAAAGGGAGGCCCTCTGGGCCCCTGAAGCCATGGGAAATCTTCCTCATCGCTCTGGTCTCGGCAGTGGTGGTTGTAGGCTTCTTTGCTGGGCTCTTCTTCTGTGTGGTGAGTGCCTAATAAGTAGGGCAGGCCTGGGCATGAGTAGCAGGAGAACTGAGCTGGGGGTGATCGGGGGAGGGAAGAGCAGGAGAGTTACTAAGAGAAGTAGCAGGCGGGGGAGGAGCCAGTCAGTGGGCAGGGGAACTGCTGACCCGAGGGAAAGGGGCCAGGAGGGGGG